TTCGTAGCAAGTTTGAATACCGAATACGAAGATAATACGGTCAGCAGTGAAGTCGAAAACGTCCACAAACTGATCTGAGTGAGAGGCTTCGTTTAAAATGTTTGGTTATTCAAGATAAGCTAAGCGGTGTAGATACCAATTCGAAAACTATAGTTTCCACATATGTTGATCTTGATTCGAGCTCAGTGGACAAAATCTTCGGAAAGTTTTGGGATAGACGAATTGATGCTTTTTTGTTGGATCTAAAATTTAATACAGAAAACGAAATAAGGCAAGGAATAAAAGTTCCAATAAAGGGGTCAGAATCATAACGACGGTACAGCTATAAGCAGCAGCTAAGGGCAATCGCCTAAAGACCCTCGTTATTTTGGACAGATTCTAGAACAGTGGAAAGATTGTACAACTCGCAGTTAGTCTAATACAGGATATCAAAAATTTTAGAGCCCACAAAGAGGCCACAAAGTGATTGGTGCTGGATCCCAACACTTCTTAACCAGCAGCTCCCTCGACTGCGACAGTTGACAACTGTATATGTGCACACGTATGCTCATGTATTGTAAATTTAAAAATATATGTCATTGACTTTACAAGGTTATAGACTATATATTATTTTTATTGCTATTATTATATTTGACAGATCCGATTGCCACCATGTAAAAACTCTAATTTTACATTGACTTAATATTATAATTATTAAAATACAGCGTAGAAATATTTATAGCCGAATAAAACATAATAAGTTTTATAAATTACTTAATACTACAATAATTGTCTTTCAGTATTTATCTTGTGAAGTGGAAAAAATGTTTGAAGGCAGGGATCCTTAGGTGCCTATATCCGCTCGTCGTGCCTCAAGAAATCAATTTTGAACAGGTTGCATGTTTATATTTATTTTATAAATATTCATTTTTAAATATGAGCTAGTTTTATAAAATATATTTTATTTTTTTTAAAGGATATGTATTCAATTTCAATAAAAATAATAATTTGTTTTTGCCTATGAAGTTTTTAATTATTTAGTATATAGTACAAATTGCTAGTATATAAGTAAAAAATATTTATCAATATCCGCGAAAATATATCAAAAAGAAATAGTTAGATTAGTTGGGGAGCATGGAAATATTTTTATCATCTAAATATTTGAAGTCGACTCGATGGCTACGATGTACGATGTACGATCCCTTTACAATTGTAATGGCCTCCCTGTGGTATCCCCTGGGTACCATATATTACATACTCGTATAACATATAAATATATATGTATATATGTAAAAATGTATGTAAGCTAACTCGAACGGCGATTTTAACTAACGAATATTAAAAAAAAACTTCGTTAAAAATATAATAGTCACGGCATAAATTTTTAAATAATGTTTTCCTAGATCATAATACAACGAAATTGACCAAAACTTTATTCAAATTCGTTTCTTTGATCTAAATTGATTTCGGCACGAATATCGTCATCTAGCACAATTACGCATACATACACCCTTCTTGCTTACTGTTGTTATTTACACAAGCAAGTGAATTCTATTTTTTACGGGAGAGAGAGAAAATATTTCCGCCACCAAAAAAGTGGCTGCATAGTGAAAATCCAATGTTTGTATGGTCGTTACGCATCTTGTAGTATTTTTGTGTAGCGAATATTATTTTTAGATCTTGTAAAAAACCTGTACTTTTAGCGAGCATCCCCATTTTGTTCTAAAGAAAATGTAATAAAATATTTTATCGGAGTTAAAGAAATATGTTTACTACAATATAATGAAATTATACATCCTTATATCATTATCCTTATATTCAATATCTTTACGAATTGCCAAATGTTAGAAATCATGGGCATACAGTAAACTTTTACAATGCAATCGATAAATAATAAATGAGTGAACTCCGTATTGCGGACTCCAAACTGGTGATCCATGCTCTGGAATCGGATGGACTAGCGAAATGAATAAGGTTTTGGTCATGTAAGGATCATCAAATTCCTTTGACCACCTTAACCAAGCACACCCCTGGCCTTATTGACAATAGTCTGAAAATTTTAGATTAGTGTCTAGAAGGACACCAAGATCTGTCCAAAGAGCAAAGTGTATGTTGCGGGTTAACACGACAAAAGGTTATAACATTATACTTGGAGCCATATTGCTGGCATAATAATAACATCGTCTGCGTATAAAAGTACACACGAATTGCTTCCTTGTGGGACGCCGCATGGGATTACAAGAAAGAGAATTTTTAAAAAGAGCCGTTGCGTCTTGCCATTAAGATTCCATTTAGAAGATCAACAGGGAAACCTAATAAATCAAGTTTCCTAACCAAAAGTGAATGATTAACATATGCTTAACAAATACTTTACTAAAGTCAGTGTAAATGACACCTGTTTGAAGATTATTTTTGAAGCTTTGTATTAGGACGGAAGTTAGGTCCTTTAGGAAAAGGTTAGTGGTTGATGATCTGCGTTACATAAAACCGTGCTGACACGGTGATATAATTGATCTACAAAGGTGCTGCATATAAGGAGTGATAACATATTCAAAAAGCGTGTAGGGATAGCCGACAATTTAGAGATTCCTCTTTAATTGATTGAATTTGTTACTTTTTTTTTGGAGATGGATTACGAAGGACTCCTTGCATATATGGGGGAACTGTGAAGATTACAGAGATAATGTAAACAGTTTCAGAAGAGGCTTGCACAGGCTTTCGCACAGAACCTAAGCAGACCTGGCGAATAGACAGGCTTAACACGCTGAAAATCGTAAAGCAGTGAGCCACCATGTAAAAACCTCTAATTTTGCGTTGACTTAACATGATAATTATTCGAAATAGCCAAATAATACATAATAAATTTTATAAATCACTTTATACTGGAATAATTGTCGTTTAGTATTCAGTGAAAAACAGTGAAAAACATTTTTGAAGGCAGTGATTCTTAGGTTCTAATGGCCGCGCGCAATTCCACAAAAACCATTTTTGCAAAGAACATTATAAATATATAAAATTATAAATATTAATTTTTTAATGAGAGCTATTTTTATAAAGTATATTTTTTATTTTTATTTTATTTTTATTTTTTAATGTAGATTGTTGTAGAACGGAAGCGAACATGTTACAGCTCCATCATTCATACATGAGATAAAATACTTGGAACTAACGGCACGACCTGATCTTTTTTTTTATAGTTGCCAAATATAGATTAAATTTTTTGAAAATACTTAAAAAAAAAATATGGACTATGATAGCTGAAAAAAGATAGCAAAAAAGCAAGTAAAAAATATAATTAATAACAAGAGAGAATGTTATAGTCGAGTTCCCCGACTATCAGATACCCGTTACTCAGCTAGCTTTCGTACGAACAAAAATTTCAACATTATGTGGAATATCGGTCGAAATTGGGGAAAACAAAAAGATAAAAAAAAACTTTTTAAAAGTGTTGGCGTGGCAGCTTTGAGCGGTTTGTGGGTGTGGCAAAAAGTTTTTTTTTTCATATCGATAGAAATTTACAAAACTAATAAAAAAAAATGAACGGTTTGTGGGCGTGACAACATTTGGAAACAAACTGGCGCTGCGTCTATGTCTCTGGACGCTGCATGCTCTATTTCAACATTCTAGTTCCAGTTCGACTCGGCTATTGATCCTGATCAAGAATATATATACTTAATATGGTCGGAAACGCTTCCTTCTCCCTGTTACATATTTCTTAACGAATCTATAGTATACTCTTTACTCTAGGAGTAATGGGTATAATAATAACAAGATAGAATGCTATAGTCGAGTTCCCCGACTATCAGATAGGTACCCGTTATTTAGCTAGTGGAAGTTTTTTGGTAAATCTGTAGAAATTTACAAGATATATTCAAAAGTGAAAAAAATATAAAAACATTATTCAAAATTATGAGCGCGACAGTTTTTTGCGGTTTGTGGGCTTTAGAGTGTTGGTGGCAACATTTGAAAATAAACTTGCGTCTATGTCTCTAGAAGCTGCATGCTTAATCTCAACATTCTAGCTTTTGTAGTTCCTGAGATCGAGGCGTTCAGACGGACAGTTGGACATGGCCATATCGACTCGGCTATTGATCCTGATCAAGAATATATATACTTTATATAGTCAGAAACGTTTCCTTCTGCCTATTACATACTTTTCAACGAATCTATTACTTTTTTACTCTTCGAGTAACGGGTATAATAATTATATATAATAAATGGAAAACAAAATGTACCTTCGTCATCGCAAAGTGTTATTTTTATCGAGGAAAAGACTAGTATATGTATATACAGGAAATTAAAATTTGCTGTGGTTGTCTTTTGAGTTGTCAAAAATAAGCATATATTAACACTATATATTGCCTAAGGATATGTAAATAAGGAATTAATAGACCTATTCGCCATTTCGTTGCCTAATCAATTTCAATGATGTAATTTTCCTGCATTCAGAAAGTACGCGACAAAAAAAAAGTATTGAATTTGCAGTTCTTATCTAGTCTCTACAGGATTATTTTAAATGTTTTTTGAGCCATTGATAGAGATCGGCAATATAAATAATAAAGTAAAAAACATTTTTCCAAAATGTGGGGGTCATTTTTTTGTCTGACCACATTTAATTTAATAAGTTGGCAAATCCAAAGAAGTCCAAACATTTCAATTCCATTAAAAATTCCATTCAATTAATCGATAGAAATGGACATCGGAGAAAGGGTGGGAATCTTTTGAAAGAAACGTAATTGCATGATTCTAACATTCTTGACGTTCATTCGGACGGGCAGATCGACTCGACTAGTGGTCCTGATGAAGATACATCATAAGGTTCAAAAAGCTTCTTTCTACCTGTTACATCTTTTAATCGAATCTGGTACACCCTTGAACTGTACAAGAAACGTGTTGAAAAATGGGTATCTATATTGAGATGCTTATATTTTCTTGACCTTATACTGGAAGACTATAGAATTGCACAACAAAAAACAAACTTTATTATTATAATTATTATAATGGTTGAATTTATTTTATAGATTTGCGACTTTGGATTGGCTCGTATTGCAGATCCCGAGCATGACCATACTGGCTTTCTTACAGAATACGTTGCCACCCGGTGGTATAGAGCACCTGAAATTATGCTTAACTCAAAAGGATACACCAAATCAATTGATATATGGTCCGTTGGCTGTATATTGGCTGAAATGTTAAGCAATCGACCAATATTCCCTGGAAAACATTATCTGGATCAACTTAACCATATTCTTGGCGTGTTGGGGTCACCGTCCCGGGACGATTTAGAGTGTATAATTAATGAAAAGGCAAGTATAAACTATATTCTGAGTTCAAATAGCTAACAATTTTTCCGACTTTAGGCACGCAACTATTTGGAATCTTTACCATTCAAGCCAAATGTACCCTGGGCGAAACTTTTTCCAAATGCTGATGCGTTGGCTCTAGACCTCCTTGGAAAAATGTTAACATTCAACCCGCATAAGCGGATTCCTGTCGAGGAAGCTCTTGCACATCCCTATTTAGAGCAGTATTATGATCCTGGAGATGAGGTACTACTTATAAGCTACAAAAAAACATTTTTATAACATTTTTCATTTTCTTTGCTTGAAGTCTCTCAAAATATTTATTGACATTTGATGATATGAGAATCTATGTAGGCTATAAACACTTAATGTTATATTATATATATTTAGTTTTTCGTTTGTATGGTTTTTATTAAACAAGTAATATATAATATAGCTTAAAAGTGTAACAAATTATTTATGATCTTCAAGATTTCACATTTAATTATATAGACTTATGACGAACTTTATTATTTAGATTTAGTAACAACCGCTCTTGGCCATTCTTTACTCGTCTCCCGACTCTACACTCTCTTCCTTTCTATCGATAACTTGCTCTTGTCTAGGGTTGCATTTTAATCAAGGCTGCAATGTAGAAGTATTGAAACATTTAATACCTATTACCACTGCGAGTATTCTTACTCGAATAAATTCATAATTCATAATATATTCATAATTTAAATTATCTTTAAATTTTGTAAATTGAATTTTTCTTTGAATGTTTTACTTGAGCTGCTATAGCCACGGTTTCCTTTGCCAAGCTAGCAGACATGGTGAGGAAGAGGAACTAAAGGTTTTGAGAACCATTTAAAAACAAAAGGTCGAAATGCTTACCTTAATAAAGCGCTTGTAAATTACAAGGAAGCACTGATGATCCTGGCGGAAGAGGTTGTCCGATGAAGGTGGAGCCATAACTTAAAGAAGAAGTCGAGATCAGCAAAAGACAACATTTCATGAGCATCCGTGTACTACCGTGTACTACCGTTGGTCCTGGGCTAGAACTTCCTCACACAAGCTAAACGGAAATCTGATGCGCCGAGCACGATAGTTACATAGATAGTTTCGCAGTCAACGTTTTTAAAAACTGCTCCAAACAATACCTCATTCTTGAGTATGAGCGCTGAGCGCAGAGGAGTAAACATTTGCCATGAGGAAACGCTTGGCCCAGACCAGTGTCGTTTCATAAAAAAATATCGGTCGGGCTGACAATCATTAGTTCCACCATAAAAATATTTCCAGGAATCGGGATGTAAACATTCTTAGAAATGCAAAAAAATGTAGGTCATAATTTTTTCAGGTTTCAGATTTCACAATATTTTAGAACGGACGAACTGCACTCGGGAGGAAGTGGCTGCAAATAGTATTATTTGGTATTTATTTTAGTCATGATCGGAGCCTAACCTAGTGCATACTTGAATTCGACAGCACTTAAACGTATTTAGTTAAATAACATTGAGTCGTATTTGGATTGGAAACTCACCGGATATACTAACGGCCACCATGTCTTCGGGATTAATATCGGAGAAGAGAGCTCAAATGTGTTTTTTTTTACATTGATTTCTATCGACGACGGCATAATCCTTGACTCATAAACAAATTTTTTAAAAGCTATAACTGTCCGGGTATTGAAACAAGCGCTAAGAAGTCGGATGGTGCTCGTTTAATAAAATAAAATTTCATGATTCGTGGATTTTGTCCTTACTTCCAACTTATCGCGGCAAACTTCAATAGAATTATTTTCCATCTTCTTATTCTATCTCCCCCACTCCTTTGTTTTTACAAGTTGGCCGCGTCATTATAAGAGGTGTTATGTTAACTAACATTCAAATGGCGAGGAATTTAAGTATTTACCCAATTATATTAATTGGGTTTAACCCAACATACCGGACCCCTTAAGTGTATGCGATCGACCTTCAATAGACCGGAAATAAAGCGAGTTCCGTATAGGGTGGCAGATAACTTCTTTGGCAGTGCGTACGTTGGCTACACGCACGATGATCCTGCGATGGTGCTGACTATGAGACCAAGAAGCCACCGTTGTAGGGAAAGATTATCGTCGTGAACGATGGCCATGTCGTTGATAGCTAGATTTGGTGCAGTCTTCGTCCAGGTTGTGCGCTCTTGAAGTTTGTATATATAGTCGTAGATCCAGCGACTCATGATAAGATGCTATATGGCGCTGACCTTCTTCTATCGATCCAACTTTTCCATAATGTCGTTGACTGGTCGCCTACTAAGAAGTGGCATCCAGGTCGTTTGGGTCTGATAATAGCGGCGTTAACGGGCGAGAGTTGAGGATCGCCTCTAGGTTATTTGGTCCTCAAAGGTTATTTGGTGCCTCGCTGAGTGCGGTTCAGTAGTCCCTTGACGCATTTGTCTGCAGCTTCCCATATGCCGCCGAAGCATGGAGCCCTGTACGGAATAATGTGGAAGTTAATGAACTCATGGATTGATTGAGTAGTTTCTTGCTTAAAAATAAACTGCTTCAAAGCTTCTAGCTTGTTGTAAGCTCCTGAGAAGTTTGTAGCGTTGTCACGAAATGTCCGAGGGAAGTCCGCGTCGGGCATAGATTGAGTGATGCAATGAAGCTATCCGTCGTAGGACTTCGACATGTATAGCCTTTGTGCCAAAGTAAAGAAAGACGGCTAGGTAGGCCTTGGTGGGCGGCTTACCCCGCATGCGCAAATTGGTCCGCAAAAGTCTATTTCGCATCTTAAAAACGGTCCAGACAGTATCATACGTTGACTCGGCTGTCCTTTAGTCAATGTTGCTGATGTTGGCGTAAAAACTCAGGTCCCTCGAACCATATCGATTGTTCCAACCCGCCGATGATGCACCCATAGTAGAAAGAACATGTCTTCAGGTTGATAATGTGGCCGAGTGTTGGCTATTACAATGTAGAACAATTTGAGCGTCGCACCATATGTACGAGGTTTGCTCTCTGTCTGTGAAGATTCTAATGATTTTTTGAAATGTGCTCCACAAAGTTCTAATTTTGGCAGAGATAGCTTCTCGGTGGAAGAAACTCTAGATTTCGATGTGATTACCCTTGCCTTAGTTTGCCCATCTGATCCGAGTGTGCGAGCTTAAATGCAGCATCCTTACGCTCTAATGGAGGCATCACAGATGCCGTGTATCCGATTGGAGATAATATTGTGATATTGGTACAGACTCCAACGACGTAAGCAGGGACATCCAAGCTGTATGAATGCCTTGGGGTTCTGACTCGTCCCAGTGTAGGTTTAGTAGCCGCAGCTCCTGCAGAATGATTTTTGCCACGGTGATGATGGATCGAACGGATCGATGATGCTACGGAAAAAATCGTGCGCTTGGTAACGTTGTCTGAATCTACTCTTGGTGAGAACGAAAACATGAATGTGTCTCATTTTATGTTAATTGGATCGTCATCGACAGACTTGCAGTGATTTGAATGCCATTTTACGAGTTCCAATTGCCTATACTGTAGACTATAGATATAACATGCTGACATCTAGCCATATATGGCGAAGCCACTGTGATATTCAATTCGAAGATACTCAATGGTTTGGGATGGCGAAACTCCAAAGGAATTATTGGAACCTGTGATCCTCGGCTGGCACGTTGACTTGGCGGAACATCTTAATCACATCAGCAGTGATTGTATAGCGATGTATACAAAAACGAAAGAGTAATGCATTAAGATCTGGCTGAATGGTAGGCCCGACCATTAACAGATCGTTGAGCGAATTCTGGGACGTTGCCTTGCACGATGCGTTGAAAACCAATCTAATCTTTGTTGATGTGCTTTTAGGCTTGAGCACGCAGTGGTACGGAATAAATTACAAGACTTACAAGACTCATGTGTCCTAGGTCTTCAAACTTCTGCATGAATTTTACATATTCGACTCTTCCTATTAGTTTATCCTTATCCAGAGGCAGTGAGTGATGGGCCCCTAGGGCATAGGTGCCACATTTCTGCGTCGACGGGCAGTTGGCTACAGGATGACCCTTGCCTAGGCAAGGGCGCCTGTGGCGGTTTACTGCATTGAGTCGGTTTTTTAGGGCGAGATTAATTACCTCTGGGCATCTAAAGATCTTGTGGCCTGTTTGAACAGGACCCTATGGCCACTAGGTTGGCTCATAGGGGCTTCAGCAGTAGGCTTCTTATCCGATTGCAAATATTGGTAATCCATTGGTAATAATAATATTAGTGTAATCCAGCGATTCTCTTTACCATAACCATGTAGATGACCATGGCCTTGTGATTCGGCGCCCAACAAACGCAACGAGTTCTATAAAGCGGATGCATTATCGATTAGGCTGCGCAAACTTTTGCCCATATGATATATGAACGATATATTGCCTAAGAATATAAGAGTTGGGTTGTCAGTTCTACAACTGGTTGAACTTGTCCTCATCTTAGACGACTTGATTAAAGACGTACATGATTAGACGTCCAATGTCAGCAATGACAAGCGCGGAATCTTGACGTGTGGCCAAAATTAACTGTGGATTCATTAATGCCGGTGGTGTTTGCGTCGGCTTCGTATGCTCTATAAGTTCCTGAGTGTTTATGAGTGTTTAAAAGATGACAAACGGCTGGATACTTCAAAAGGAGATAAATTCAAACCAGGTTCCACTGATTTGCTCATACACGTAAGGTTTTTTCGAGCACTCGTTCGCTGAGCCTTAAGTTGCTCCAGCGAAGACATTTTACAGATGTTTGTTTACTTTATTTATTATACCCGTTACTCGTAGAGTAAAATGGTATACTAGATTCGTTGAAAAGTATGTAACAGTCAGAAGGAAACGTTTCCGACCATATAAAGTATATATATTCTTGATCACGATCAAAAGCCGAGTCGATCTGGCCATAGTGTATGTCCGTAACTTTTGAAAAATGTTATATTTTGTCTTTTTTTTTTTTAAAGATCTTGTAAATTTGTATAGATTTGCAAAAAAAACTTTTTGCCAAAAAACGCCCACAAAAACTTAGTTGATTATCTTATGGAAGAACATCAACCGGTGGCAAATCCTACGATTCTATAATTACGATTGGTCGAAGAGGCGAACTGTATCGACAGGATCGTCCGGCTCCCAATTTAATCCCCGTAGATAAAATGTATAAAGCTGTTTCCATTCCCAAGAATGGGTTCAAAAAAAGATATGTGAGATATGAGAACCGCGTTAAAAATGCGAAAACCAAAAACTCAAAATAAAGTGATCGGAAATGTTTGAAATTCCTCTGAGTTTAGACACTTAACAAAAATCTGGATAGTGGATAAAGTGCTGATACGGGTTCTTAACACACAGAGAAGAAATTTGCACGATTTTGCGCTGAATTCTCGAAATTTATCCTAAAGTGGATGCAGTACTAAGTGCTAGCACAAATTATAAATTTATCCGACGAACTTTATTGTATTGCCCATATTGCATGCATTTTGTTTAGAGTCGTAAAAATCAAAAGAATCAAAAGTACGCAATAGTCGAGTTCCTCGAATATCAAATACACTCTACTCAGATAGTACAATTGCGAGGAAGGTAGGCGGTTAGTGGACATTATAGTGGACATGTCAACACTCTAAAACAAACTAGAATCTACATGCCTTATCTATCGCTCTCCAGATCCGAATAGTGAATGCGGTGTCGAAAATGTCATTCGCACAACGTTATAAATAGCGAAAACGAATTAAATTAGGAAGGGTTTCTCAGACGAATTGAAATTTATTTGTGTTGAGCTAATAGCTATTTTAGGTTCTTTATCAAACAACAAATATTAGTAATCAAATCTAAGTAATTTATTTTAGTTTCAGCGATGAATATATGTATAAGTATCGAAAGCGAATAACGATGCGCAGGCGTATTGCTGAGCGAACAGCAGAACGCAAACAAGAAATGCAACAGTGAGTATGCAAAAGAGGCAGGCAGATTCGTGTTTAGATGATGTTTTACGATAAGAGCCGCTAAAAGGTACTGCAAATGAATTTAACAAAGAATGGACATTACTTGTCACAAAACAGTCATCCAACTATGTACGTGTGCCAATTGCCAAAAAAGTCATTTTGCTGCACACACAAAAAGAAAGAATAATTTTCACTTCCGATTAGACTGGATTAGGATCACAAGCATTGCATTGAAGACATGGTCAACATTTTAATCTTAACCTTAAAATAGTGTTGTTAGAAAAGTTTGAAAGCCATGCTACTTCTTACTCAACAAAAAGTTCGTAAGATAATTTTTAGCGTAATGTTTATAGTTATTTACATATTAGTTTGTATCGTCATGTAGGTATATGATAGTTGCAGATTATAACGGTCTCCTTTGTCAAATAAAATTATAGTTTACGTATACGTTACGTACGTATATAAGGATTTCGGAATTAATACTTTGTTCCTATAAAAATTAGTTGATTAAACAAAAGAACCAATAAATTTAGTTGACTTACAGATTCCGAATCCGGTCACGAATAAGGTTCGGCCCTCAAAGTTAAAAAACGCCAATAACATACTAGGGGTTTCATGGTCATTGCATGATACGCATACGTATCAGGTTGACTTTAATATTATCTCTGGATCTTATCTTAATTTGTGAGGAAAAACAAAGTCTTGCTAAAGAAATAAAGACTTTATTTTCCCTTACCTTAAAGATGATCTAGTTGCTCTTCTGTAGCAGAAGATTACGTGATCCCCTATACCGACTTCGCCACATATTCCGCCGGAAAGATCCGCACTTTATGATCCGGTGAATTCAGACCTACTTCGACTACTCGAGGGACATGAGGTGACGGCAATCAAGCTCCCACTTCTAGGCGAGCAAGCGAGCGTTATTGTTTACGTCGTCCACCAGAAGCATCACTTGCTACCGCTAGACCCCTCACCCAATATTTTCGGCGGGCTAACAAACGATGTCCATATAAAGTATAAGTTTTCTTTCATAGAACCTTTTGGAAAATCCTCTAAACCATAAAATCTAGATAATGGATACATTTTATTTTTAGACAATTAGATTTTACAGACAATTCAGCATCGCAAGTTAAAAACAAATCGACAAATAAAAAAAACCATGTACAGACATGGTATAGACTTTATGTTGCCAGCAAATATTTATTTAGTTAGCATATAGGTAAGTCCAAAACTTGTCCGAACTTTAAGATGTAGATGTTGAGCTCTTAAATTGTAAGTAAAAAATGTGCCGGTGGGTGACCAATCTTGGAAAAATTCGCTCCTTTACTTGCATTTCTTCCATTCCCTTGAGTTCTCTTCTTTTTATAATATATTTGTATTAAAATAAAATTTTCTTAGTTACTAAATAAATTTACTATAGATGATTAATCATTTGTCTAAAATTTATAAAAAGAACTTACTTTTATTGATGTTCTCTTCAAATATTTCAATAAAACATTATATTCTTCTTACAGCCTGTCGCTGAAGTGCCATTTCGGATTAATATGGAAAATGATGACATTTCTCGGGATGCCCTGAAGTCATTGATTTTCGAAGAAACTTTAAAATTTAAGGAACGACAACCAGAAAATGCGCTTTAAACTTTAAGAATTTAAGTATATAGTAAAAACAATTGCTCCATTAGTGTAACTTTTATCGTAATTTTCTCCGATCTCACACTAGGGCTTTTACACAAAAAGCTTGCTAAAATGAGATAAACTCCGATTCTTACAAATTTCACTTGAATGTGAATATGGAAAATTGGCTCTAATGATTTTCTAAAGATAGGAACTAAAACTTTGTGTGATGTTCGTATATGCATTCATTTTTTTATTTATTTTAAAATTAACTAATATTTAGGCTACCTGTTGTAAGAAACGTATGTATTATTCGGATAATAACGTCAAAATATTTGAGATCTATAAAAGAGTTTAAAAAAGTTTATTAAAACAATAAACCTAAGTAATGCTTTGTATTAGTTGAAGTTATTTATACGAAAAATTCAAAAAAAAAAAAAAAAAACTCGATTGTACCAAATACGTTCTTTTTGATTTTATAGTCAAAATTAATATTACATCTATACATTATATATAAATTTTCGAATCGCGTCATTATTTCCAAATACATAAAATTATGGTAACAATTTGTTGTGACCAACTGATACCGCTTATATAAAATAATACAGTTATATCATAATTTAATGTGATTTATTCAGACAAGCAGGGTAATCCTTTCTTGGATGTAATTAGGCTAATCCACATTTCTAATTATGCCATAACACGAACGATACCAAATTTTAAAACTGTTTTGCGATTGTTTAGCTATTACTGCAAAACATAAAATTGGGTACAACTGAAATTTAAAATTTATTTATTTTGTTTTTTGTGGGAACATAGGTTTTTTCTAAATTTTAACTATTAACAACTCTGTTCTGATACTAAAAAAAAATTAAAGGCAACGAGGGATAGATAGAAAATTGTACATTTTTTAATGTTTCGGAAATTCTAAGACTTCACATTGTTAAATATTTGCACACTTTAATACAAGAATAAAAATGACTAATTATATTATCAGCTTACGAAATTTAAAAGCAAATTTAAAACATTTAAAGAATTTCCACTTCAATAAGATATACTCTTAATCAAAATCATTTCGTATACTTTTGGTAAATAAAACTGTACGCAAATAAATAAAATTATAAATTATATGTGTAGTTGTGCAATTAATTTCTATTATTATACCCGTTATTCGTAGAGTAAAAGGGTATACTAGATTCGTCGAAAAGTATGTAACATGCAGAAGGAAACGTTTCCGACCATATAAAGTATATATAATAAATTTTTTTGGTGATAGATTTAATGAAAAAAAAAATATATTTTCCTTTTTATGATCTTTATTTGAATAAGTTTCACCAGAGGTCAGTTAAGAACTAATTTACAAATGTATTCTTTCGGCCCAGCAAACCTTTTACAGAGGATTAACATAAGCCTTTTAAGTTCTACTTAGCTTTATATGTCAAGCTTAACAGATCATTAAGCTCGTTACCGTTAAGCGGTTCGTATCTTGGGGGAATGTTATTTATGAGGCTTTTGGAGAGTGAAGCTTTCCAAAAGATCGGCTTTAGCTTTTTTATATGAAGAGTGAATATGTCGTATGAAGAAATGAATATGTCACTATATGTCGTATGAAGAAATGAATATGTCACTCCCCCACCTTTTAGATATTAGCTTGTCCTCAAGCGATTATTTCTGGATATAAGTGTGGTACTGGATTTGAAATTTCAGCTATTTCTGTTTTTGTTTCTGTTTCTTTTTCGATATTTTTGTTAGTGGTTTTACTTGGTTTTAGGTAAGAGATAATAATTTTGTGTGGCGCTGTTTATAATATGTAAATTAAAACTAAAACAGATATGAAGATTATTAGTATGTTTCTGTAAATTGTGTTACTCTTATTGTTTAACAAAATCATTTCTTTAATTTCTATGTGTGACATTGGTTCGATTTTTGTTACATTGTGTTCAGTAAATATTACATTTGTGTATTGTTGAATACCATTAGATATTGTAATTTGTTTTAATTCTGCTGCGCAGTTGGATATTTTTATAATTTTATTATTTTCAATATAAATCTCCTGACCGTTACAATTGTGATAAAGTTTTTCTCTTGTCATATTCCAGGTTATAAGTATATTTGGTTTAATGTATTGAATATAGGATTGTTTACGATATTTTTGAAAAGTACAAGTTGGTGTTTCGTGTTTTATTATGTTAGTTATGCAATGGTCATTGACAATATTCTTTGTTAGTGTATTTAAAACATAGTTGTTATGTGAGTAGAATTTGCCTTCAATATTTTCCTTAATAATTTGGCCATTATTGTCGGGGTAAGGTGCAATTATGAAAGTTGATCGTTCAATTGAATTCATAGGAATGTGGGACATTAGGAATATTTCATTAGTAGGTACGTTATACCAAGCGGAAGTTTTTATGTTTATCAGATTTTTGTAATTAATGTTGCCAATATTGTCATGTTTTAGTAGTTTAGGATTAAATATTCCTAGTCGTGTTAGTTGTGAACCCATTTCAATGTCTTCGATATATTCGGTAAAATGTTCAATATTAAATATTAATAAATTCAATTTTTGTTCCTTTTTCAAAGAATTGGACTGGTTGTTAATTATTTCTATGCCATTATTGAGACTGTCAATAACGTGGTTTAGAGTGCTGACCTGTACTGTGTCTTGTGATAGAGGAAATTTGTTGTTCAATATGTTGTCTGTCGTCTTCGTCTAGTGTGCCAAAAAGATATCTTAATGTGGAACCTACAAAGTTAGCCAGTCCTCGTTTGTTTCGTTTTGAGATGCGTATGCCATTTATTTCTCTTTCCATTTTCTCGGTTAAATATTTAATTTGTGTGACATTTTTAAATTCTTGACATTGTTTAATTATACTATTAAATGTTTCTTCAACTTCTGTAATATTTATGGTGAGACAGTGATGCATAAAGGTGATGGGGATTTGTATTGTTCCAGATTCAAACAAGATAAATCCTTGATTGTTTTCTATTGGGTTGATTTCGATTGTTCCTGCTGTAGTTTGTGTCGCAATACAAGTTATTATGGTGATTATGAGTCCGATGATTGGGAGGTGTCGGTTTGCTGCAAGTATTTGCTGTCATTAACTTTCCTTTTCTTTTTAAATTTGCTTTTATAATAAATAACGTTTTGACCTCTATTATTTTCGTTATAATGTTTTTCGTCTAATTGTTCTATTCTGCCTGTTTTTCTAAAGGGATTCTTTGATTTTGCGCGTGTTAAGGGTGATTTTCTAAATTTTGTGTCGATTTCGAAATCCTGTCGTTTTTTGTTAAGATTTTTGATTTTCATTTCTTTAATCATCTGGGTATCATAAGTAGGTGTGTCTGCGTAAAGAAGGATGTTAGCCGGTATCTGTCTGGTTGTATTATGTTTAGTCTTGTGGTTGTATATGTATAAAATTGTTTCCATTCGTGTTTCTTTATTTTCTCTATTGTTTTCAGTATTGATAATTCTGATTTTTTCATTTATGGTTTTATGAAGGCGTTCTATGTCTGCTATTCCTGTTTTACTTTTGGTAATATCTATTTGTATGTCTTCGTTGTTTAGCCAAGTTTTTAAAGAAGTGCTTATAAACGCGGAGTCCTTGTCTGCTTTAATTTTCTGTGGTTTTCCCATGTCGTTAAAAATTCTAGTAAGGGCTCGTTTTGCCTCTAACCAATCTCTACTGTTTGTTTTAATAAGTGAAGCAAATTTTGAATAAACGTCTATGCAAGATAAATACTGTTCGTTGTCAATTGCATAAAAATCAATAACATAAATTTCTCGTTGGTTATTTGTCTCTGGAGTTATTTCGAGTTTTGTTGGTCTATGTTCTGTCTTTGCAAGGTTACAGATTTCGCAATCATTGATAATGTTTTGAATAAGTTTATTATAATCGGGAAAATAGTGAGTTTCTTTAAATAATAGAATCATTTTTTCAATACCAGGGTGTAACAATTTAGAATGTTGAGTAATAATTCTTTAAATTTAGGATAAGATTTTATGTCTTTTAACTTTATGATACTTTTCAGAATTTTCACGTTACTGTGTGGGTTAATGGTTTCTCGATATGCTTTTTGAAAAACTAAAAAGCCTTTATTGTTTTCCAGGTAAATAACACTGTTATTATTAAAGATGTATTTAATGATATCTGTTGCTTTTGTCAGGGTCATGTCAGTGTATTTGATGTTCAGTTTTGTTTTGGAAATGTATTTCGTTGTCTCTACTTGCTCCACGGCATCTTTAATAAATTCAATTTGTCTTGCAAAATAGTTTATTGGTTTTTCTGTAATTTCAATGTAGGTTTCGTTGCTTTCTGCGTATTGTTGCTGCTGTTGAAATATTTTATTCTTCGCCTACCATGTTTTCTTTCACTTTAACGCGAGATACCTTCTAATTATTTGATTTTGAAAGTATATTCACTAAGCCTAATTCGCCAACGTTGTAGTTTCATGTTAGGTTCTTTAATATTATTTTGCCTCACAAGTGGTTTGTGATCGCTCAAAATCTCAAAGGGGACTCCATATAGATATGGGCGGAAATATTTGGTTGCCCAAACGATTGGTAGTAGTTTTTTTTCAATAGTACTATAATTTTGTTCATGATCATTTAATGTTCTGCTTGCAAAGCTTACTGGTTTATTATCTTGCGATAACACTGCTCCTATGGCGAAATTGCTAGCGTCAGTAGTGACTTGAAATGTTTTTGTGAAATCGGGGCAAATCAAAATTGGGTCGTTCATTATGAGTGTTTTCAATTTTTCAAATGATTTATTGTATTCTTCGTTTCTTGTGTCTATTTTAGCTCCTTTTTTTAGAAATATTGTCAGAGGTTTTGCAATCTTTGCAAAGTCTGGAATGAACTTACGGTAGTGTCCGCATAAGCCTAAGAAAGATTTGATTTCTTTTGATGTCTTTGGGAGAGGAAATTTTTCGATTGCCTTAACTTTCTCTTTATTAGGTCGTATGCCTTCTGGACTTATAATATGACCTAAGAAATTTGTTTGCTTTTTTAAAAATTCGCATTCGCAACAATTGGAGTTTTAGATTGGCTTCTTTAAGTTTCTCAAAAACCTTCCTCAGTGAGTCTAGGTGTTCGTTCAGAGATGTTGAATAGATGATCACATCATCTAAATAAACAAGGCAATGCTTATTTATGAGGTCTTTTAGGACGTAATTCATGCACCGTTGGAAGGTTGCAGGAGCATTTTTTAAGCCAAATGGCATGCGAGTGTACTCATAGTGACCATGTTTGGTCGAAAACGCCGTTTTTGGTATAGACTTAGGGTCCATTTCGATTTGATGAAAGCCTTTTGCTAAGTAAATTGTAGTAAAATACTGGCATTTTCCTAATTTGCCTAGTATTTCGTCCATGTTAGGAATCGGAAA